AATCGGAAGTGACTACATGCCAATGCGAAACACATACATGATGACTAAAATATCATGACCAGGTTTCATTATATCTGATTACAGGACCGAAGAGTTGTAAAAAATTTACACTTTAAAGCACAACCAAAGCTCGGATGGTTCCAAGTTATTATTGTAATGCTTTTATTTATCATCTATTACTTACCAAACCTATTTGACAAAAAGGAACTTAAACACAAATCTGTATGACTTCGTGCTTCATTGCACATGTTACAATTAAATTGTTTGTAGTGTCGGTTGCTATGTTTAGCCCACATAGCTTATTCTAACTTCCAGACAGACCAATATATTCATTGTTCTTGAGTCACGTTTTGATCTTGTTAATTATTCGCTTATCAACCTTGACTGTTTTTATGTGAGCGTATATATGCACTTCTTATCCTATTCATCACATATCTGTAACTTGTTTTTATCTGGCTAAATATCGATTCATTTTTGATTAAATAGAGTTGGATTACACGCCTTCTCCATTGCACGTCATTTCACTTTGCTCTATCTTCTTCGCTTCATTCGCTGCGATTCTCTGATTGTCTGTTCCGATCAACGAGTGCACAAAATATGCATATTCAAAAATCCATTCTCATATTTGACTTATTTAATTCCGTTATTCACTAACACGACTTAAGTAGATGAAAATATACGACGGTAGCCAGGATGCATATTTCGACAGTAATCATTCAGTAACGATCATTCGTCAGATCTAAATAGAGTCAGATATTCCAGAGCCACTAAATGTTTATCACAAAATCAATATTTTGTTGAAGTAGATCAAGTAAATAAGTCAATAATTAATCAGATATCAAAATTATATCGTAGCCCATCCTGCGCTCAGTATTTACTTGGATGAAGAAACACACCAGTCTGAATAGCACGTGACTTTTAATTACAAGTTTTTCAAAAACAATAATCCGAAAAATAGTTGATGTTGAGAAATATTTCGACATTGATTATGTTCCATCCAACTACGAATGTTATCAAACCAATATTATTTATTTCAAAAAGAACCTTATACTTAGGTATTACCCTAAATGTATAAATCAATTAGTTCACAACAAGTCAAATCATTTTGTTGAAATAATATTATCAAGAAAATATTGAAATGGATATGGATATATAGAAATAACAATAAACTTGAGTTGTTAGGTTGCGAATCAAAGTTCTTAGCGTTTCGAGTTCGATCTCATGTGCAAGTTGTAAATATACGCTGTTAATAAATATTAAGTTTGGACAGAATTATTAAAAACTCTTCTTTTGTTTTTCAACGTTTCTCCAACTGACGCTAATTCGTAATGGAAACTGTCATATAAATCTATTTCATTAATTTGAATTTCATGAATGAGTATTCATTTAAATTTTACTTTATTTTAACTGTTGAAAATAATTTAGAAAAAGAATTTTACCTTAGTATACTAATAGATTTTAACGCATACAAAATTTTCAATAGTACATAATACTTTTAGTTTTTAGGCAAATTCATGTCTAAGTGCACATCTATTGTTATCTGAAAATCTAGCTTGTACATTTGCTGAAATAGATTTACTTCTTGTTGTATACAAGTACTTTAGTTTACTTAAATGATCCATAGGCTCATTTATATTGTTTATACATGTGGGAATAATATACCATAAATACCTATAGTTATAATCAATAAAATGAACATTTCAGTTACAATGTGGATTAAATACATCAATATATGATGTAATATTTCACCTTTTTTTTAATGTCTACTTTCAGCTACATAATAATATTTAACAATGTTTCCAACATTCAATTAAATCCATTGTCCAAACAAGCAAGAACAATTATTTATAAATTCTGAATTTTATACATTTTTTGCTTCTTACAAGTTTCATTAAAATATTTCTCAGTTAATCAAATGTCTATATGTATATAGTTTAAAACTATATCTGATAAGATATATTAGTAGTTGTATTGTTTTTCTTGACTAGAAACCTGTAAAACTATGTCTAACTGTCAAACTTCAGTGATTCTTCGATTACCTAGAATGTTATATGTGCCTTAATAGGAAACGATCACATACACCCTGGTGAATTTAAAAACCTATTGTATGTAAAATGTTTTCCTGTGATTTATGAATTTACCAAAGTTTGTAGTAAAGTTTTCACGTTAAAACTAAGGTGAATTCCATGCGCAAAAAACCTCTTCATATGAATTTAAATCATATTGCCTCTGGATCCGAAACAGGAGAGTAGATGGTTCTACAAATGACCCTACACTAGCTGCTATGTTGAAGGCATATCCCCTTTTGAATAAGTAGAGAGAAGAATGAATCATGGGACACGACAGACATCTACTTGGCTAGATATAGGACAAAGCAGCTCTTTTTATCTTTTATAACACTATTAGCATTTATTTGCTTGAAAAGTAAACACGAATAAACGAAAAACGGACTACTTATTTACTTACCAGGACTGATTATGTCAAAATGAGCAAACATAGATTTTTACATTTGTACAAAGTCACTTCTATTTATGATGGTAAAACAGGTTCGCCCTAATCAATCCCAAGTTGGCCTAGGTATTTTAGAAAAATATACTAATCTGAGTTATCTCCTAAGGGATTGATATTTAAACTTCGAGTTAAAGTCTTAATCTTGGTTTGGGAATATAGTATAAATTGACTGTGGGATAACTTATTAAGGTGTATAGCAAATGGTCTATTTTTACGTTATCGATATCGTAACTACATTCCGCAGCAATGGCGGTAGTAAAAGCTTTTCCGTACTTACTTATGTATGTTACCCCTCATGGAGGAACATAGGCCGCTCAATATCATTCCCCATCCAACTCTGTCCTGGGCAAATCCATTTCGATAGAATAAAATAATTTCGGTGATATCAGTAGGAAGCGTAAATACTTTTTGACACCAACATAACTTAATTCCTAAAGCTACAAAAGTTTAAGATTTTATGTAAATACACTAGAAATATCAATAATACACTTTTGACAGAGACGCTTCTTGGTAAGGAAATTTGTCAACTGTACAAAACGGATCAATTAAAATACAACCAAATAGACACATACTAAATAACAACTCAAATAGAGAATTTACGTCAAAGCAACCAGTGCCATTACACCAAAAGCTTTTTCTGCTCCAGTTGATCTCAATGAATTGATTATTAAACGGTTTATGAATACAATAAAAGGGCAAGGTCTTATGTACGATGCCAACGACTTATAAAATATAGAAAAATATAAGTTGGTGAAGAATATAATATTGATTCGTCAAATCTGCTTGGAAATGAGAATGCATTTGCAAGCAGAGTAGAATAACTTGGCTGATAGGTGAAAGGTAGACAACAGTTATCCATATCGTTAGCTAAGACAAGCATTACGAATTCTTTTCTTCACAGCATAAAATCACATAACTGTTGCTAAAATATCATTTTCTTAAAGAGAAATTCAACCCTACTACACACAAATACCAAACTAATAGTAGATAGAGAATAAATGATTATTTGTAGATAGCTATACCACAAGTGGTTAGCATGAGTTATGAACTCGATAAGGATTACTGTATCCCATTTAATTTAAATTACTACTACAATTGTAAAATCGAATTAGTAGTTATTAACAGTTAAACCATAAATAAGAATGACAGTTACTGAGAAAGATACACTTTCGATCCATGAGAAAAAAAATCTATAAACATAAAACTACCTTGTAATCCTTCTTTTAACCTTCTTATTTTATCCATTTTATCTCCTTTTTCTATCTTCAATTTTAGAAAAGGCAGTTTTATCACTTTTATGAATGAAACAGTTTATTGATCTGTAGTTTTCTTTAAAAAAAGGTTTTATTGTTAGGACTTAATAAATTAAACAAACATTATTATCAGCAACTGTTTATCAAATATTTATCTTACTATTTATTTATCACACATTATTAGGAACAAGGATTTAACGCATATATATATGTCGTTTATATTTAAAGGAGTTTTATTATTTTCACATAATACACATAATAAAGATTTAAGCTGAGTCATGAACTAAACTAGTAGAAAAAATTGCTGATAGTTGATCACCTTTCATCTATTAGTAAATTACATGCTTTATTATAAGGACGATAGAATTTCAAATATACCATAGTCATAACTTAGCTATGCCTGGTTTAATCATGAAATATAGTTGGACTATCTGCTACTTACTATACCAATCTTAAATGTACAGTTTTCTTTTCCCTTAATAATTCCCCACTCTTTGAGTTTTCGGTATCTTTGCAGTGATTGAAGATTGGTTCATCTAAGGTTTAATATTTAATTTTTGGTTATATAAAGATATTATAGACTTATTCATAAACAGTGGTTAAGTCGATAATTCCAATGAATCCTCCAACAACTTTTAATTAATATCAGAAGAGGTTTTGTGGATATTATAGTAATTTCAATGGTTGAGATCATGAATCAATTGAAGCTAGACCACCATGGAAGAAGCGGAAGCACTGGACGTCCGTTTCGTCGTATTGTGGGACTCCTCAGCAGTGCGCATCCACGATCCCGCCTCGTGAGATTCGAGCCCAGGACCAATCATTCTCGCGCGCGAGCGTCTAGCCACCAGACCACTGAGCCGGCCGGCATCCAAAAGTGTTAATGTCTAGCTCCAACTAATCGACAAAATTGAGCGACATATCTACCATTGTCATCAGTGAGTTACTATCTCACTGATGACAATGGTGGATGTGTCGCTCAATTTTGTCGATTAGTTGAACTTTTAATTAGTTAGAAGACCATGGAAGAATAGAAGAGGTTCCGCATTTCAAATATTTCTCAATTAAAATCATTGTGAGTTAGCACTTGAACACTTAGGTAAAAAAGTTATGCCATCAACAGTTTTACGATTGTATGGTACTTAGGAAATTAATTAGAACTGAAGCCATATTAAAATTTTGAACTTTTTTTATTCAGTAAAATAACCGAAATATAAAATTCACTGAAATACTTACTTCAGATACCCATAGACGTCCTTGATTTTTATTAAATCGAAATCCCCAAGGTTGAAAACGACCTAGACGTAATAATCTAAGATCGAATTCTTTTTCATTAAGAATTTGACTTGCAAAACGATATAAATTCATTCAAAGAAGTTCTCTCTCTTTATATATATATATATATATGTATATATATTTGATATATGAATAAGTGTGAAGATAGTGTTTAAAGAAATATTATCAACTGTGAAATAAATTCAACCAATATCTTAACAAATGATAATTATTACACTTCATAATATACTTGATGAATCTTTAATGATAGAAATATTCATATAGATCTGTCATCATTTAAGATAGAAATTTGATCATTTCAATCCGTTTATATATCATTTTGTTTGTTTTTTATTACTAAAGTCAATGTTTATTTACTTAGTTTTAAATAAAAATAAGAATCTCTTGAACCCATCTTTTACTTTTTTTCATAATTTAGTGCATAATCTTGATTTGTCAAGTATTTAACCAATAGATTAAACAGAAAAGTATCACGTGTATTTATAGTTTACACAATATTTGAATTCCCTTTAATAAAATATTTATTTATTTATATTCAATGGATTGAATAGTTGAACAAATGACTAAATTTGTTTCTGTTAGTTAAAATTACATTTTATAATATTAGATAATCATTTACAATGTTTGTTCTACTTAGTTATTCATTAATATTTTGTAAACAAGTATGTTTCTTTGACAAGTAGTTCATGTAATCAATGATTAGACTATAATTTATGGACGACCTAGATTGACCTTGAAACTGTCCACTTAATAACTAAGACTGAGGATTATAAACCTTTGTGAGGAATACGAATTTTGATTTACAGTTGATGGTTAAGGTTAGTAATTATATTTAGGGTTTTCATTACGGACTGACATCAGCTGTAATGTCAAAGTGGTATTTAAACAAATGAGTAGATGAATTTTGCACTAAAATTCGAGACCTGTTATCTTTTGTCTGATTGGTTCGTCCATAAATTATAGTCTCGCCTAATCAATGATTATTGTCTGAAATTACAATTATAATAGTACATTCATCTTTTCAAGAAAATGAAATTAGAATCACATTCCACATAGGATAGATTTTATAGACAATAACCATGCTGTATTATACGCATATCAATTTAAAATCTGTTTTTTAAATGTACTTTATGACATCTGATGCATTTTTCATATTGATGTTAGATATTATTAGTTCGTATTTCAATATTTTTTAAAGTTGTCACTTGTAATGCCTAGCATAAATAAATAATTGAATTGAATAAACGCTGACAACCTATTCGGTGGTTTCGATTGAAGTGTTCTGATTCTTGTAATAACTTTTGAAATATCAAATGAAATGTATCGCTCAGCTCTGAAATCACAGATATGATCGTTAAACATCTGTTATTGACTACTCAAATGTAAACAGTAATTAATATAAAGTTATGAAAAACTAGGTGTAGACGTAGAAATAGCAATGTTTCCATAATTTTTTCCAGAATGCAAACTGAAGACTTTGAAGGATCGCGATAAGCACTTAAACACTAAAACTACGAGAGTAACATCCAGTGGTAAATATTCCTAACTCCGATTAATTCGTGATGACTGTTCCCCTTTCAATATTTCTGAACTCCACTGGTTATGACATTTCACCAGAACTTCAAGAACGTACATCCTAGTTAGTATTTAAGTAAGTTGAGGATTAGTCTATATATGGGGGTTATGTGGAGGACCCAATTCCAAAACTTTTAACTCGAACACGTTAATTAATCTAGTAAAATATAATCAGCACAAACATTCTTGAAACTAAGGTTATTACAATTTTGAGGGCTACATGCAAATGAGATGAGTTAATCGCAATGGTTTAACTATCACATTTCTGGAACACATTCCCAAAAAGTAACAGTTCAAGCAAGATATCCATGTCGTTTACATGTGTTCGACCAAAGATACGCTAGTATTGATCTCTATGAACAGGTATCAGGTACCCATAATAGGGTCGTCGCTTACGTACTTCTTAACATGTTTCTATCATTTTATCCATCAAACAATTTTATGAACATTTTCCTTTTTTTTTAAAACTTGCCAAACAATGTTTAAAAATTTTGATGTTTAATTTACCTTTTAAAATATTAAATTCTTGTAATGCACTTTGATGTTTCATTTCTAAAAATACAGCGCAAATTCATTAGCATTTGGGTACCATAAATCCTTTTAACAATTAACCTAATTCAATTTTTGGCAACGACCTACTTCTGGTTATTTCTACACCTTGTTAGCTTTGTTCGTCTTGCTGAAACGAGCCTTATGTAATATTCATCTAACTGTTCCATGTATTGCTAAAGTCTTGCTACTGAAACATCCTGATCTAAATTCAAAGTATTTAACTACAATTTTGAACAAAAGATTCTACTTAATACATTACAATGTCATTTGTTACCAATTTTTATGAGTAAATGATCTACTTATTCCAATTTGATTTCTCCTCTTAGAGCGAAGGAACTTGCCGATCTCTATTATTTCGATGCGGTCAACGGTAAATGCCTCAAATGAATATACGTTATTTTCATGTTCATTTTACATCCTTTTTCTTATTCATTTATTTGAAAGGGATACTTTCTTTTTAATTATCCTTTTGAATAGAAAAATAACATCCAGATAATTTACGTCATGAGCTTTGTGAATTTTATGAGTATTTTAGTCTTTTATTACTCTATTGTCTTTCTAAACAAATTTTATTTTCTGGGGTTTAGCTGGTTTGTTACATCCAATGAATCAACTGTTATGCTCTATAGAAAATTATAATTTAGGCGGTCACACCATCATAGTTGGAGATTTAAGCTTTAGTGTACTGAGTGTACGAACAATTGTTGGACAATACTTTCCCCAATATCACACCGTAAATCAGAAATGTTCTGGTAGACATTTTCTATCGGTTTGATTTACAAGCTTCACACTAAACTTTTAGATTAAAAACGTATAAATTACACGTTAGCAATAAAATTTCTTTACAATATATATATATATATATATATATATATATATATATATATATATATATATATATATATATATATTGTTTTTACCAAGAATAATTATACACGATAATATTCTCAATTCGAAAGAAATGAGAAGACAGAAGATAGCGTGTGTTTGTCGAAGCAGGCATACATGAGAATTATGCTGTATATATATTATTTATGTTTGCCATGCTTTCTGAATGGTTTTCCAGGTTTAGAAGTTCTACTCTTATTCTTTTTACTATTATTACTATTAATGTGACTTTTCTCCTTTGTGTTAGAAATATTTCTACGTTTCTTCTGCTTGTTAATGCTAGTTGACATGTAATCATTTTCATTTGTTTGCTCTCCAGGAACAGTTGACATTGCATTCATAACTTCTGAAATTTCTTGCTTTTTAGAGGCAGGTGCTTCAGATGCCCAAGATGTTCGTTTTAAACCAGGCTTAGTAGCTATTTCATTGATATTGGGTGTAGGCAAATCGTCAACAGCTGTAAATATGGTAACACCTTTAGATTTTACACGTTTTCTCATTGACTCCACTGCCTGCATTCAACAAATAAATAAACGAATGAATAAGTGTATGATGGACAAGTTAATAAATATTTTATGAAATTATTATTAGTTTGCATAATAACTATAAACTAACCTGATTCGCTCTAAGAGATGCCTCTTTTACTCCTATATTTAACTCCTCAATAGCTTTTTCTAACTGTTTATCTACTGAACTATTTGGTTCAACTAATGCAGGAATCCTTTCATGACCAAGACCACCAGCAGATATCAAGTGCGATTCAATCTCCTTCAAGAAGAACGTAACAGAGTATTGGGTAAGTAATGTTAAAGCACAACCAAGGCGACCAGCTCGAGCAGTTCGTCCAACTCGATGCATGTAGATTTTCGCATCTAAGGGCACATCGTAATTCACCACTAACCCTACTTGTGGAATATCTAAACCACTGGGTAAGAAAGAGAAATGTATCAACTTTTCAAGATGGGTATTCATTTATAATAGTAAGTACAAATAACAAAACAAGCTATTAAAGCTTAAGAACCCTTCAACATCTAATGGATCACTAAACTAATTATTTTAAGATGTCTATCAGTCATAATTGGGAGAATCGCCATAATAAATAAACTATAACAAGGCTATATACTATGAAAAGATGTTTGCGACAGCTTTCTTAATCATGACTGAATAAAGTGTAGATTAGTGTATTCTGCTCGACCCTGATTGTCCAAAAGGGAAGATAGGATGGATTTTTTGAACCTGCAAGACAAGAGTTGAAATTTAGATGATTTAACCCCCTAAGTTATTGCAGAAGTCTGTAGTAATAAAATACTAATTCGAATGTTTAACCAACTAACTAAGTACTAAAGAGGAGTATGTATGAGTAAAAGAGAGTAAGTGATATCAGCTAATAAAATTATGTTTAACACTATTAATAGAACAGCTATATATTTCTTGTTAGTGAACTAATCAAGGGCAAGAGTCTTTACGTCTTAATAGGAATCAAAAACTGTATGTGACTGTAACAAACTAAGTTGTAGATGGTGAGCATCGGTCAGTTGAATCAGAAATAGATCATATTACAACACAACTTGACTAAAGTTGAAAAATGGTAGCTTTCTTTAATCAAGTCTGCTAATGGCAATATCCTTAACAGAAAATACGAAAGTGATGAGTGCGATGAAGCTGTTAAACAAGATGAACTATATTGAGCATTTGATAATACTCTAAGCTTTACAATAGTTTTTAATCGATTTTAATTCAAACTGATGATTTACAAACAATAATTTATGCTTCACAGTATACACTAACTTGAACATAAATGATCTAGATAAGACAACTATAGTTATGCAATGTTAAATTATATGATGCGTAGTAATTTGAACTGACAGATGGAAAAATAGGTGTAAAATTGCTAGGTTTGAAGAGGTTACGAGTTTACTTAGACTGCGAACGGAGCAAAGACTCGATGACCAAAGACAAATAAGCTGGCTCTATTCGATGCGTCCCAGCCCCGCTAACTAGAGGAAGAAGTCCAAACTTGGAATGGGGAAGTATATTCCGCAAACAGCCAGAAAACGAGCGATAACAACAAACACAAATCAAAACGTATATATACAGCACAAAACCACTCTTGGAGAGAGTTACAAAATAGCATACTAAAAGACACAACGGACCAATGGCATTTAAGATTCTCCCAAGTGGGAATACGACATCAAGGTGAAAAGAGCGCTTTTGGCGCGAAAACAAAGAAGTTCACATTTTTTGGATAAAATTACAAAATTGGGTCGTTTTCTAAGTGAGTTCTGGGATTCTAACGTTCCCAACAAAAATCAACCGAATAAGCTAGAAAACAGGAACAGGAACTGAAAGTAACATCCGAATTCTAGTGCGACGACCATCCAATGCCACTGGT